TGCCCCCGCCCCTGCCATAAATCCACGGCAGCAGGAACTGGAGGTGGCTTTGAAACGGCAGCCGTCGGATGTGCTTTCCACCCCAGCTCCCCCAAAAGCGAGATATTTCCTTCCCGTCTCCGCCGCCGAGGATAATTCAAACCAGCGTGGGGCGTAATGGAAAACAGCATCCCCGGCACAGCCGCTGCGCCGTCCTTTAACTCTCTGCTCCTCCATTTCGAGCTTTTTAAGCTCTTTAGGAAATTCCTCTGGTGCCGGCGAGGCTTATTTTCGGTTAAGCAGGACCTGGCTGGGCTCTGCTGGGGGGGTCCCACATCCCGTCCAACACCCCCAAAATAAATATGCCCCGGAATGGAGCTGTTGGTGATGCTGCCAGCCTGGGAAATGTGAAGAAAATGCCTTTTTTTTGCCTTGTTTGTGGTCACAGCTCCGGTGGCGGCGGCGGTGAGGTCCCACTTCAACGACTGCCCCGACTCCCACAGCCAGTTCTGCTTCCATGGCACCTGCAGGTTCCTGGTGCAGGAGGACAAACCTGCCTGCGTGTAAGTGGGTCGAATCCCTTGGCAGCCCCGAAAAGTGGGGTCGAACCCTGTTTTACCTGGCTCCGAGTGGGTGCCCTGGTCCTGGGGCTGATGCTTTGGTTGAAGATTTAATGTCTTTATCATTGATGGGGGGGAGGCCCCATAGAGGGCCCTGGCCAGGCCGGGTCCATGGCTGAGGTCAATGATGTGGGGTTCAACCGGGCCTGGGGCCTGCACTGGGGTCACCACAACCCCATGGATGCTGCTGGGCACGAGGAACTGGGGGAACTGGGGGGACTGGGCAGCACGAGCCAGCAGTGGGCCCAGGCGGCCAAGGAGGCCAACGCCATCCTGGGCTGTCCCAGCACTGGTGTGGGCAGCAGGAGCAGGGCAAGGATCATTCCCTGTGCTGGGCACTGCTGAGGCCGCCCCTGACTCCCAGAAGGACATTTTGGGGCTGCAGCGTGGGCAGAGAAGGGCAAGGGAG